GGGGGGTCCCCAGCCGGGTGTCCGTGCTGCACAGGGCTGATGTGTGCTTCAGTCTGAGTGCATTACTGCAGACAGACACCCTCTTGGCTTCAGCGCTTTGGCTTTCCAGCCTGTCTGCAATGTCGAAACACAAAACCACTGGAGAGCATCTGAATGCAGAGCCCTGAAGCGACCTCCAGGCACAAAGCAGCTCAAGTGACAGCGGGGCAGCAGCTGGGGCCTCTGGGCTGTGGGTTGCTGCTTTTCTTCTCTGCTTCTCCTAAAATTAAACGTGTTCTCAAAGGTGTAGGGGATGCAATGGGGAGAGGGCGTCCCTCCTGGAGCTGTTTGCTTCTCTGCTCCCATTGCTTGAGCATTAACCACTTTGCAGGATTTTTGGGTCATAAGGCTGATGCTGCTAGGCTCGAGCTGAGATAAAGCAGTGGCCAGTCTGGCCTGCAGTGATGGCTTCAGCTGCCTGCCCAGCCAGCCCCCAGAGAGGACATGGGATGGTGGGGACAGCAGGGCATGTGCAAACAAGCAACAACATGGGAGGCTTCTTGGGGGGGCTGCATTTGTTGTCAGGCATTCGCTCGCAATTTCCCTGATGCTCCTTGGTGCTTCCCGTCTCACACACCTCGCAGAGAAAATGAAGAGTGGTGGGGCTGCAGCCAGGGCAGGGGGGAGCGGGGAGCTGGCAGTGGGCATTTCTGCAGCTGCAGCATCCACCACACGCCAGTCTCATCCTGACCAGAGCCGCTCCTGCCAGGCAAAGGCATGGAGCATGAGAACACCCTTCTCTTTGGCCAAAGGCACATCGTGAAAGAGGAAAAAGCATGTGAGAGAAGGATGGGGGAAGCAGACAGCCGGTTGCCATGCTGGTGGCACAGCCTGCCTTTCTCTGCCAAATCCCCCAGGGAGCTCCGTGAACCTTTTTGGCACTTGAGCTGTGGGTTATGGGGCAGGCGAACGCATCTTCTTCAGCAGCGGGTGCAGCAGGAAGGGCTCCTAACACCCTGCCAGGGTGTTTCTGCAGAGCTGGGCCATGTCCTGCCTGGGACGCAGGGAGGGAAGGGGATGTTTCTGGCCTCAGCCTAGCAGGGCTAAAGCACAGCCTGCACCTGTCAGGCTGTGGGCATGCTCAGCAGCATCCCACACAACCACAGCCTGCAAGAGCGGCAGCACCCCCTGCCAGCAAGGTTTCCTATTCACCGGTGGTTTCGGAGCATGAACCGAATGTGTCCTCTGAAGCAGGCTTGCTTGCTCTCTCCATCACGTTATGACCTGCTGTGGCTCAGGGTTGGCTGTTGGGCTGAGCAGGGGCAGAGCTGCGGCGTTGGCGTCGGGCAGTGGAGCGGTGAAACCCTTGGCAGGCAGGAGGGAGGGAGGGATGCATGGGCAGGCGACGGCGCAAGGGGCGGCACGTGCTGGCACGATCACAGGGATGAAGTCAGAGCGGCTGCAGAGCCGTGCCGGGAGGTAGGAGAGGGCAGCAGAAGAGCAGCATTTCCTCGCAGGCGCAGAGTTTCTGCTCATCAGCGGCATTGTTCCTCTTTCATTTATCTTTACAGCTGGCTGCTCTCTGCTCCCAGCACGGAGACTGAGAACAGCGTCTACTGAGAGAAGCAGCCTTCCTGCCAGCTTGTGAGCGCAGGCGAATGGCACTGGCCACAGGAGCATCCTTGTGGGTCTTCCCACTGTGGATGCACACAAGCCCTGAGCAGCCCTGCTAAGGCAACCACAGGGCTCAGGGAAAGGTTGAAATGGAGGATTTGGCAAATAAAACCCCACAAACCCCAGAGCTGAGGCAGGATTGTGCCTTTGAACACCTTGACGGGACATTTCAGCTGGCCAAGTCCCTTTGTTCTTGCCCCCTCGAGGGCTGAACATCCACTTTCCCATGGAGGGATGATTTCAGCCCACTAAGCCTCGCTGTCAAGAAGCGCATGTTGCTGCTGTATTTACCGGTCCCACTTCCTTTGCAGCAGCCATTTGGACGCTGCAGGGCTACTCGGAGTACACACACACATCCTTGCCAGCAGGCAGAAAATTTCCGGTTCCTGGAAGCATTTGTGCGGAGAGGCAATTTATTTCTCATGCTTTTCCTGGCTAAAGCAGGTTATGGTGGCTTTTGCTCTGCTATCACTGCTGGGGAAAGCTGCAGGCAGGGGAGACAGCAAAGCCAGGACAACAAAAAACTTATTTACATTGATGGATGCGATAAGAGAATTGCACTTACTTCAGGCAGGACAAGCCAGTTCATCATCTTGCCTTTTATCAGTGGCAGGGTGTCCGCTAGAGCTCTTGTTCCTGGGCTGATAGCACCAGGGGGGCAGCTGCTCTGCCCTACAGCTGGTGCCCTCCTGCCCTAGCATTAAATATCACCCATTATAAAAGCTTCCCCAGTTCTTCCAACTGCCATTTGCCATCTCAAGTGTTTTCCTGAAACCCACTTTGGAAATGCCCGTGGCAAAAAGCACGTACCCAAGGCTGGGGAGCAAGAAGTCGCCATGGAGGTGGGCAGGAGCTGGGTGTGTGGGTATTATCCAGCCCTGACTGGTGTCCTGCATGCTGGGGCTGTTGAGAACCAACATGAGGTGATGCTGGGCAGGAGCTGAGGTGCCTCAGTGCCTTCATGCAGGAGTGAGGGATGTGAAGTTCTGTGGTCCATCAGCACAGCTTGCCCCCAGGCACAGCTGATCCTGTGTCATGGTCCAGATCGCTGACGTGGGGGATTGCTGGAAATGCTCCTGCACCACCAGGGCAAGGCCTGTGTTCAGCAATGAAGAAGACATCTGGGGGAACAGGCTCATCGCCGTGTCCAAGGCCCCCGCATCCCAGCACAGGGGCTGCTGCAGAGGAGCGGCGCTTGAGCCTGTAGCTCTCCAGCACCACTTGGTCCCAGTTTCCAGGAAAGCTGCTGGGTCTCCACAGAAAGCTGAGTTTCAGGCAGGACTACAGGCATGGATAAGCCCAACACTGAACACTACCATCCCGATGTTTTTTCCCCTCCAGATCCCTGCTCTGCTGGTGGCCAGGCTGTGAAGTGGCCATCCCTGGGATGAAAGAAGCTGCAGACAAGAGCCCTCCTGGAGCACAGCACTCCCAGAACCCCATCCTGCCCACCTGGGCCCCCCCCACCCACTCCCCCTTGGGCAGTGACCCCCTGTTGTGGGCCGGGAGCTGTGGTCCCTGTGGATGGGTGACCCTGAAAGTGCCAGCACCCAGCACCGAGGACCGGCTCCTGACCCATACTGACACAGGCTAGGAAAGGAGGAGGCTGAGAATAAAAAAAAAAAGCTTAAGAAAAGAATGACAGGAATTATTTCAGGGCTGGAACAACCTGCCTCACACTGTGTGAGTGAAGAAGCCAATCTGTTTAGTTTATCTAAGGGAAAGTTAAGAGGGAACTTAGACGCATCTATAAATACCTACATGTTGGGAACATTTCTGATTGCCATGGTCCTTTATCCTAGCAAACAAAGGCATCAAGATTTCCTGGGGCTGGGAGCTAAAGCAAGAGAAATCCAGGCTAACAGCAAAGCACAGATTATTAATGGGAAGGATAAATAACCATCAGGCCAGCCAGGCTAGGGACACAGCAGATTTCGCCATCGCATGAAGTCTTAAAATCAAAGCTAGGTGGCTACTGCTAAAGGAGACATTGCAACTCAGCTAGACGTTTGGGGCTGGATGCAAGAGCCACTGCACTCCAGCCTGGGACAGTTAGGAAGAAAATCCCTTAAAATCTGACTGTTCCCGAATGATCAGGCTTTCACCCCTCCTGGGTTTTGCCCTGTGATGCCCCCATCTGCGGTCATGGTTCCCTCCCACTGGCGGATGGAGACCAGCAGCCAAGCTCATCGTCCTGTCATATCCAGAAAACCACTGTCCTGCCCTTCCAAAACTGGTAAAGATTTGGTGAATGTCTGAAAACATAGAGAGTAGCAAGAGGAAAATGAGAAATTAAACAGTAAGGGAAAAAAATGGGGTGTTACCCATTTTATTGCAGTCCAGAATAAGAAGGGAAACATTTAAAAAGGAGAGAAAAGCAGCAGTGCAATTTTCATATTTAAAATATTTCTGAAGAAGACTGACTTAGCAAACAAGCATTATTTCAAACTATGCCAAGGAAAACAACATTTTCATATCATTTGAAATCTGTAGTGAGCTCCATCCATCCTGGCCACTTCACCCCTCCCAAAAATGCATTTTGCCCTTTGCTCATCCCTAAAACTCCCCTCAAATGCATAGCCCAAACAATGCACTCGCACTAGGAGGAAGCTGAGATTTATGTTGCACATCCAAATAAACGGCATTTCCAAGTAAATAAGACAGCAGAGAAAAGCTCCTGGTAAGCTGAGGAATGGTCCTGCCATTTAAGAGCTCAGAGAAAAAAATATGGAAATCTGCATCGTGGGAGTGTGCCAGTGCCGGGGGCGAGAGGGACGGGGCTGGGAGGATTTCCAGCTCCACGTAGCCTCTTCATTTCTGCGCCATATCCGCCTGCCTTCCGAGCCCTGAGGGCTGACACTGGGCCATGGTAAATGTTAACACAAGGGGACGATTTCACTGTCATTCAGCCCCTGGCACAGGTGACTGCTAGATTTCCTAGCCTGAGCATCACCAGAACAGCCATGAAGAAACACTGCCAGCCCCAGGGGAGCAAAACGCCTCCCTGGCACCATCCCCGCAGTGCTATGGGCACATGGCTCCAGTGCTGTCCCCTCAGTGCCAGCCACCGGCTGGGCTGGCAGGGTGGGACACGGCGTGGGGCGCTTGGAGGCTCACCTGGGGCAGGGCGCTGCGAGAGCTGAGCACCAGGCTGCAGACGCTGGCCGGTGCCTCCGTCCTCCGTGCCGTCACCCTCACCAGCCGTGGCAGTGTCCCTGGCGTGCTGTCCCCAGCCCCTGCAGGAAGCCTCTGCTCACCGTCCCAGGACGGATCCTGAAACAAGACAAGGAGTACATGCGGGCAGCTGCCTCCAGCCCCCTGCCCCCTGCTTCTGGAGGGCCAAAATGAGCTTTCCCCTATGCAGGGGGCTCGTACGGCCTTCAGTGAGCATCCCACCACCTGTGACAGCCTGCCCTGGCACTGGCCCCATGGGTGGCAGGGTCACTGCAGGGAACTTGTTTCCACATTGATTTTTAAATGTCCTTATTGACTGTCCATATTGACTGGAGGCTTGCAGGCAGGGGACTCTGGGGCTGCCCCGCTGCCAGGCAGGGGCAGCTCCCTGTTGCATTTCACGTTGCAGCAACACAAGATGCCTTAAACATATTTTTTGGAGAAAGGAGGAGGGATTTGATGGCATCGATGGGCTTGGGCTGTGTTTGGTGCAGGGAAGCCCCGAGACTGGCTGCTTTGCTTGTCCCCCCTGCGCGCAGGGCACTGAGAGGGGGAGCGGGAGCGCCCCTCATGCCGGCTGCACCAGGCCCACGGTTGCTTCCCCACTTGCTTCCCCACTGATTTTTAAATGTCCTTATTGACTGCCACATCTCTTTCGGGCCCCATGGACTGGCCTGGCCGCAGAGACTGATGGCTGTTGCCAGCAGACCTCGCTGGTGGGTGGATCAAGGCCACAGGAGACCCAAAAAACCAAGTGGGATCCTACTGCCTACAGTATAACACCACTAAAAATCCGTTCATAGCACAGACTAGATCTGCAGGTTTGCCTTTAACTAGAGGAATTGTCAATGTAAAGGAGTCAAGAAAAAAATGGGACTAAAATGGTTCGTGAGTCAGAGGGACACAGATATCTCCTGCACTGATTGTGGGCAGTTTCGTCTGCCCTGTTCTTGTCATGAAACTCCTTTAAAGTGTTCCTCCTTAGAAGACATTGTTCAGCTCCATTGTCCCTGTGTGCCATAAAAATTTGGTATCCCCACAGGTATGGGGAAGCCAGTTCAGTCTGTGAGGCAGAAATAAGGTGTTTATCTGATAGGAGTATTTCACTGAAAGGAGGAATCCCTGAATTTTTGCATTTCTGCACAAATGTTCCTGCATCCCCAGTTCAGGGGCATTCCACAGCATCCCTTGGCAGGGCAGGAGGCATGAGGGGGACGGGAAGAGGGCCTGCAAAGGCACGAGGCAATTTTATTTACCTTGGTGCCCTTGGGATAACTGAGACCCTATTGCTCAGTTCCTGCCTCCCCACCTGGTGCTGTATCTTTTAAAGGGCTGTTGAAAATTACAGAGAATGCAAATAAGAGAGACAGAAGTTGTCTGAGAGCTGGCAAAAAAATCCTGAAAAGGGAAACTTAAAAGACTCAACCTACTTCATTTATCAAACCAGCCTGTGAGGTGGCTAGATCAGAGAGCTGAAACGCCTCTGTGGGAAACAGTGTCAGACGGGAGCAACTAATCCAGCTGCCAACAGCAGAGCAGGAACCAGAGCTGGAGCTGAAACTATTTGCATTAGGAGTAATTCAATTAACACTTGTGAACCAGAGAAGTTGCCTCATTAATGAGACAAGCTATGACAGAGGAGGCGTGGAAACACCCTGGGTGTGAGCTGGCCAGGCTGTAGTGGCCAGCAGCCTCCTGTGCCCCTTTGCCTCCCCCGCGGTGCAGGAGCTCGCAGGGTCTGGCCCCGCAGCATCATGCCAGAGCAGCTCTTACCTCGGGGAGGTTTTGGAGCTCTCCAGGTGTGACTTTGGAGCTGGGCTCAGTGGCCCCATGCTGTTGCCCAGCTGTGCCGCAATGTGCATCCGGGCTGGGAGGCTGCAGGGGTGCGGAGCGCAGCGTGAAATCATAGAATTCATGGATATCTGCAAAACATCATGAAAAACATCCACAGGACCAGGGAGGCAGCCTGATGCCAGCCTTCTGCATGGGGTGCAGCACCAATGCCCACCCGCTCTGCCCCCAGAGCACTGTAAGTCTGAGCCCTCTGTGAGAGGCTGGCACCTGGGTGATGGGCTGGGACAGGGCTCTGCTGGCTCCCCACCCTTGCTGCGCTGCCACCATGGCCCGCCCTGCAAGGCAAGAGGTGCAATGGGGCGCCTGGCTCAGCGCGCAGTGCCCCACGGCTGTGGAAGGCACGGGCATTTCCATGGTGCAACGACCACACGCTTCACAGGACTAAGAGCAAACCGCGCTCAGCAACATCAATCATAAACCCACCCCATCCCACTCTCCTCCCGGCTGTGCCAGCCCCATGCGTGGTCCCATGTCCCTTCTGCTCAGAGAAGCCTCGTGCGCCAGGCAGCCCCTGCCTGCCTGCCCTGATGCTGCCAGGCTTCTCCCTCCCCATCGCTGCTCCCCCACGCCCCTGGCCCACAGAGGGGCTCCCTTCCCACCAGGACAGGCAGAGAAGTCACAGGGCACTCGGACAGCAGGCTCATGGTGTACAAGCTCTAAAGTTGCTGGCTACAGCTGTTGCCTCCAGCTCCTTCCCTGATAAAACTCCCCTTCCCACCTGGCACGATACTACCTGCACACTGCCACAAGCAGATGCCAGGTATCCGCACACTGGGCTCCAAGGACCTGAGCCTGCTGCTGTAAATCACAGTGGCTCTGGAGGGAGGCGTGAGAAGGGGCGTCCCAGCCCTCACTGCCCCAGAGGCAGTTACGGGGTGACAGTGACGGCAGCTGCTGCCCAGGTGTAGCTCCAGAGGGGCTGTGGGAAACCAGACCCTCTCCTACCCTTGCCAGGAGCATTTTACCCTCTCCCAGTCACACGCGGAGGATTGCAGGGAGCAGCAGGGCTGCAGGGGGCTTCACTACATCCTAAGGAAGCCCCCACTGCCATGTGCTCCAGCAGCTGCCGGCCCCCAGCAGCCCCCTGCTCATCTCCAGAACTGGGTCAGACACAGATCTCCAGATCCAGCACCTCCATAGGAGCAACTAAAGCCAATATACCCATTGCAGAAGGGTTTAATTTCAGAAAGGGAACTACATCAAAAGTGAGGAGCTTTTTTATGAAGAAACTGAAAGGGGTAACAAAAAGGGTAAAACATTTGTGGTAGGCACTGGGCTTATTTAGAGAGACCCCACTGGGACATCAGAGCAAATGCACAGTGCCTGGCTGGAGGATATTGTAAAGGCAAAAGGGAGGAAAGCAAGGCTGGACCACAGGGGAAGGGAGGCTAATAGCGAGAAGACATTTGTCTAAAAGCTGAAGCTGTGTCCAAATGAGAAAACCAGAAAGGATGGTAAATGCTGCCAGGTTAAAGGTAAAGCTCCAAAAGGTCGGCCAAAAGAGTTTGGTGAACGCCTTGCAAAAGGCATAAAAAAAGTAATAAATCCCTTCAAGTACCTGGAAAACAGGAAGCCTGGTGGAGCCAGAAGGGCCAAAAAGTCACGGTAGCATAAATAAGCACTTGGAGCAGGGAAAGCCGCAGCAGGAACCCGAGTTCATTTTCTGTACCTGTGTCTGCTGCGGAGGAGGCTGGAGAGCCCCTCTTCTGCGAGCGACCCCAAGGGCCAGTGGTGGTCTCAGCTCAAGGGGGCCGTGGCCTCCGGAGCTCCCTGGGAGCTCAGGGATGAAGCGGCTGCACCAGCACTTCAGCGTGTGATTTCTTACCTGAAACTATGCCACACCGAGGCATCACGTGGTATTAAGTGCCCACTTTACAAAGATTTCCAAAGGAAATCTGGTGAGCACTGGGCATCATAAGCAGGGACGTGCTGAGCACTGCCCGAGGCTATTTCCCAAGGAGGCTTACACAAAGCAGGATTGCACCCCAAAACGCATGTCCCCATCCTCTCCCTGCGCTTAACCACATGCCCATGCACTGTGGCAGCACATCCATGTTGCAGATGGGATGGGGAGCAGCATCGACCCCCATCATCCAGCTCCCAGGGGCTGCCTGGTGACTTCCCAGCTGCAGGGAACAAGCTGCCGGCAGAGTGGCTTTGTGCCCACAGGGAGCCCAGCCAGGCCATGCGGCTGCCCGGCGTCGATGCTGCTTTTGGAGCTGCTGCTTCATGCTGCATCATTGCCAGGCCCCCCAGGACAAATGGGGCAGCCGGCAATGACGGGAGGAGTAGGAGTCTCCAGATCCACCCACCGCACCTGGGGCATCCCCTCTGCAGCCCCCCAGGTGCTGAGCGCGCTGCTGGCAGCCCCTGAAGCCCTCCCAAATCAGACATGAGGTCACGGCAAGTAGTCATCGTGCAGTCAGACAAACGGGACTTTGTTTTTGTGCAAAAACATCTCTCCCTCTGGCTATAAAAATAGTCATTGTGTAATGGGATAGCAGGGGCCCCTGGCTGCATGGATTACACTTGGAATGCACAAAACTTTGCAAAAATGAAAACAGGATTTGAACAGCCCTGTCGCGGGGGTGCACCGCTGCCGGCATCCCCGTTTGTCCCCCATCTGCTGCAGGAACACAGCCTTGGGCGGCCAAGCTGGCAAGGTGCCCGTGGAGCAGGAAGCTTGTCCATCGAACCAGCCGCTCTCCACCTCCGAAACCATCAGCCCATTTTAGATGCTTGCTGGGAGAGGGAATTGTTGCTGACAATTAGGGATTAGAGGAGTTTCAGGATTGGGGGACGGCGTTCAAGCAGCGAAGGGTGCGGTGGTGACAGGAGTACATTTTAGGACATGCATGCATTGTGGCATTAAAGATAATTTAAATATATGCTGGTTTCCTTCATTTCTTATGGGCATCACAAGTTGCACACAAGTCTGCCTCACCTGCGCACTGTAAGAGCAGCACTACCTGAAAAGCCTCAGTAAGAGGACGTTGTGGTAGCAAAAGATGATGCTGCATGTTCTGCCTTACTGCCCAATTTCTGTTTGATGACAGTGTAAATCCACTCTAAATCCAGTAAGTCAAGATTTACAGAGATTAGAATTTGTCTAACAATTTCCTCCTGGGGTCAATATGTCAAATAAATGGCATTAAATATTTCTATAGCACCAGCATCTGAGGACTAATGCAGCACCCTTGTGCCAGCCAGCATGCGCACTTCCAGAAAATGACTTTTCTTCCCCACCATGTGCACTGTCATCAGCTATGTCACTGCAGATTTACCCCAAGCAGAAACTCCAGCCTCACACCAGCCTCCCAGCTGCAGCCCCGCTGCCATAGGGAGGATTCACACATACGGTCGCCACAGCAGAGCTTTCAAACAAGCTACGAATTTCCATCCTTGTCTATGGGCTAATTTGAAAGAGGAGGAGTCCTCAGGGCTGGGAATCCTCCACATTCCTCCAGTTTTCCACCCTGGCTCCTGCAGTCACCTGGTGAAGCTGCAACCGCCATCCCCAGCAGCACTGCTGGCGAGCGGAGTTCCCGGCTGGAGTTTTGCACAAAGGGAAGCACCGCAGGCTGGCAACAGCCTGCCGCTCCTCATGCCTCTGCAGCAGCTGGGCTCTCCTGGAGGAACCTTTTTTGGGGTAAAAGGAGCCGCAGGGGAGGGTTGGGGTCCCAAGCAGCTGATAGGACCTCACTGGGGTCTGTGCCAGCCACGGGAGAGGAGCTGAGCCCCAGAGGGCTTTGGGGAGAAGCTCTGCCCTTTGGGCTGCTGGCAGCTGGGTGGCCAAGCGCACACAAACCCTGCCTGTCTGCCCAGCTTTGACCGCTGCAAAGGGCACAAGGACCCCTTTCAGCCCTGGCTCCGGGAAGGAAAGGTCAGCGAGCTGCTTCTGCGTGTGAGCCCTGTCCTCCCTGGTGACACGAGAGGAGGGCTAAGCATCTCCCTGTGGGGCTCTGGGGAGCAGGGGGAAAGCAGGGCCACAATCGCCCCAGTGCAGCCACAGCGTCCCCGAGCACCCTTTCACCAGGCTGCTTCCCAGCAAGTCACACGCTTGGCTCCATGGCCTCAG